CCATCTTGACCACCTTTTTCGTAAGCATTTTCTTCCGCACATATTGCCACAAGCGCAGTATGTCGCGGGCAAGAAAGAGGGGAATAACGATAGCCATGATGGGTAGGGCGATGATCCAGAATCTACAGACGTCAGCCATATATTTTTCGGAATTCAGAACAGAAGAGCAGGCGCACGTACATGACATCCGTGTGCCCCGGTTGCGTGGTGATCCACATGAGGTCGAAGTTCATCCCAAAGTACCCTGTCAGCACGGTGAGGGGGAGGAAGATCACCGTGACGAGCATAAGGCGGCGCCTGGTTATGCGAGATCGTGAGCGAGCTGATACGAAAGGCGCGATACTGACATCACTTCGTTCATCTGGTACGAGGTCATCTGCCAACCATCTCAGCGTAAGTTACCGCGAATAATGGGAGTGAGAGGCATACATTGAAGGTATAATCCACCAGATTTTGTCCGATGCTGGCGATCACATCGAGTTGGCTGAGCACATATCCCATCTGGTCGTGGACATCGGCCTGAATACTCACGAGTCAGCGAGTGAAGGAACAGAGCAGGAGACAGGCCACGCACGAGGTAGATAAGGCTCTTATGAGACATGTATCCCGCCACCTTGAGGCCCTTTACCGACGCCGACACGTCTATAAGCGCAGCTGCCCGGTCCGTATCATACCGCCGCAGTCCATACACGACTGTTTTGATCGGCGCCAACGTGCGCCGGTGCAAGATGAGGTCGGCGGAGAGGATGTGCAAGTGGCGCACGGTGTCGATGGTGGGCCTGACCATGATCTTGCGCTCCAGTTTCTTGATCTTGTCCTTGTACGCGGTGACGACCTGCGCAGGCGAATTTCATAAATCAGTGCTCATCGAGTGAGTATTGCGCACCTCGAGGGCCATGTCGGTGACGAGGCCAAGAATGCTTTGCACGAGGAGCGGTGCGTCCGCAGAGGTACGCAGTACGCTGTCAAACTGGCGCACGCGACTCGTGATGGGCTCTGTAATTCTCAAGTTTGGAGTCGAGTGGATCGTGATTACAGTGCCTGAGATATCCAATGTCAGCTCCTTTCGAAGGCATGAATTGAACTCACCATCCCGGAAGAGGAATATGAACATTGGAACCACATTGACATTCACCCGCTCGTCGCTTTTCAGCGCCTGAAGCGTAGCATCCTGAATACGACGTTGCCGATCCGCGGCGACGGCAGCATGCAGCTGTTTCAGCCATGGAATTCGACCGCGGAGGGAACCATTGAGATTCTTTTCGTCGTCCGAACTTGCGGTCGTGAACTGGGTCAGTGGATATGATGGCTGAAAACTTGGAATTGGGACCGAGTCTTGACCCGGATTTTCGTCCAGCTCGTGACAAAGGACACGGAGAAACAAATGCTGAGCATAGTAGTCAGCCTTGGATCTTGCTCTCGGGTGCGCATGGAACACATCCTCCAGCGCGAGCGGATGCAGGTCTGAGATATGATGTTAGTAGGCGAATGTCATTCGAGTAGCAACGCCACTCGCCGTATTTTATTGACAGAGCCTTCATTACATCCCAGCTCATCCCACCAATATTGATCCAGCGGACCTTGACCCATGGCTCCCGAGCACTTGCCGCCGGGTCTTTCAGGAAATCTACGAACTCGCGGTTTGTCATGCGCCCGAAGCTACTGCGAACAGCAGAGTAATCGGCCAGCTCGATAACACACTCCTGCTTGATTCCCCCGTACTGAGCGTCCGCTGAGGCACGCCGAGGGTCGACACCTGGCTCCGCTCCTGCACCTCGGCGGGAGAGGAGGATGAGATTCATCCCTCGGTGCAGCGCGATGACTTTGCGGACAGCATTGCGGAAACGATCCTTCGGGTGAAGATACACAGGAACGTGAGGTCGAATGCCAGCGCGTCGAGAATAAGAAGATTCTCTTGTGCGAGTCGAGCGCAACGTTGGAAGATTATGCGGAATAGAGGAGGCATAGTTGGGTGACGCTGGAGGAAGGGGATTGACCTCGTCTTCTAGGTCGGGGGTCAATGAGCGCCCATCCGAGTCGCTGAAGCTGTTTTCTCGAGGCATGAGGCGCAGTGAGGGAGGTCACCTCAAGGCGCCGGGAAGGCACTCAGGTAACGTGAAGGGTGAGCTTAAAATAAGGCTGTATCTCTGATAATAGATGGCTCTATTCCTGAGATCGGGCAGCGAGCTAGACCGACGAATGAATGATTGAACATTCATCGAGCGGCATGAGGCCGATCGACGGCGTTCGGTGAGGTCAACGTGCAGATCGTGACCTGATGAACCTAGAGAGCGTTTCCGACGACATCGTAGATAACGGAAAATTTACTTTTGGAATGAGGTGGCTTTCTGTGATGACTTGAATTGAGGGCCGAGGAGGAGAATCATATAAAGCCATGAAGCGTCGTTACACGAAGTTGGCAGGAGGAAACAAGAGGCCTAGACAACTATGAAGAGTAGTACTTAGCAAGAGAGGCCGACACTGCCACTGACCGGGCACTTCCCTTGGTTGTTTGATGGCTGGGTCCGGCATTCACGGTTTCGTCAGAATAGGGCTTGGACGAAACCATTCTTAAGCGGATATCCTTTTTTTGCGCTTGTTTACATCCTCTCCCCCTCATTTTCCACAGCTCTCGTACGTTGAACCCCAATCAAAAGAACGGATTTTCGCAGGAGACTTGAACTCTAAGGCGGTCCGAATCATGCGAAGCACGAGCCTCTTTTTGTAAGAGCCTCTACACTAGTGACACAGTGTACGCCGAAATGCATCCGTAAAACAAGACTCCTATAGCAATTTCTGATACTACTTTGCGCTTTCATACAAAGGAATCACACGATTTCGTTCAACCGCTCGGAGAAGATGTTCTCGCCCTGATCCATAACACCCTCTCCCTGACACTGACTCTCGCATTCCCCACCATTTCTTGAGGTGCTCAGTCTGCTGCGAACCTGCCTCAAGTTCTGACCATCTGCGGTGGGCTCCTCGAACGTCATGCCCTCGACGCTCTCGTTCCCGGCGGTCCGAACGGTCCCGACGCTTCCGGATACGTTGTCCGTACCGCTGACGGCCAGAGACATTTCTATCTTGCCAGAGTAAGGCTCGTTGGTCCGTTTACGCAGAATTATGGCCCTGTTGTTGAGCGTCGCGAGAAGTGCGTTGGCGTAGCTGGGTACCAAAGTAAATTCAGTTCGAGCGATCTCAGTTGGACTAAATGGGAGCCAAAGAAACGTACATTCCCGGGATTATGAAGCCGAAGCAGGTGAGATATGACGAGTCCTGTCCAAAGAAATTGGTCAGCGGTGTGGATTGCGGAAGGCGGTGTGTTTACAGGGAATGCGACGAAAACGAAAAGCGCGACGAGGTCAACTGTAGCTGAAAATGTGTTTGTCTCGAGGATGAGATGCACGATGTCTTTTGCAGTGTCGCGCGTTGAGGAATGCATGTCCGCTTTGAGTATCTATGTGGGATGAAAATGTAAGTCAGTCTGAGTTCGCCCGGGAAGGATGTAGATATATCGCGCACGAGCGTGGCCATGGTGATCGCAATGAGGACGTCCGCGACGGCGCCGCCGATGAGCCAGAAGTAGATGAGATCCGTGAGCACTTGGTCCTGGTGGGAACTGACGTCGTGGGATTCGAAGGAGTGGATCTTGAATTCCTCGCGGTATGAGTGTACACCAGTTCCCAGCCCACCGACAAATTGGGCCGTAGAGAGCTACGTTTCAAAAGTGTTATTAGATTGGTCGAGTCTGAGCGGGAGGGATGCATACCAGGACAATCAGAATGCAGACCGGCCATACCGTGCGCCGTATGACGAAGATGCGGAAGCAGAAGAAGAAATGCACAAGCATGGCGATGAAGGAGCCCATGATGGTAGAGTAGAAGACTGCAAATCGGGGATTTTCGAAGCTGGCGAAGTTCCCGAAGGACTTAACGAACCAGAAGGACAAATCTGCGGCATTCAGACAACAGTCGAGTGTCAATGCGAAGAGGAGGAAGTACACTGAACCCGGACAACGACGTTAGATGGACAGGCAACGCTTCAGGGGGTGAATCTGACCGAGGGATTTAATGGTCCAAGAGTCTTTCGAGAAACATACATGGTAGATGTCTGGAATTCAATCAACAGCTGATCCCACGCAATGTGCAACAGAGATACTTACAAACTTGCGCCAGCAGTGCTCCAAAGAAGAAAAAGTCTAGGAGAGAGCCAATGAGCCCCGGGGATATCCTGGATACAACCAGCTGGGTAAGGAGCTTCGGGTCCGTGGCTGCGGGCGAGGAAGACATTACGCTCGGTGTGCAGATGAGGTTACGTGTAGGTGATTGTGGTAGTGAAAGCGATGTGGACGTGGAGAAATGCAAGATCTATGGAATGTGAGACTCTCCTGTCTTTGATCTTCAAAAACAAAAGGACTCGGAGAGGTTGACGATCGAAGACAAAAGGCTCGTTCAATGTGACGGCTGGCTGAACGCCTTGAGGATTGCTTTGAGCACGTCGTGAGTGCGAGCGAGTGGTAGGGCTGCACGTGCCCGTCACGGGCGCGGCCGTCGGTTCCACCGGTGTGCACCCTATTTAAGTTCCGTATATGAAGCGCGGTATCAAAGGCCCGGGGTATCAAGAGGTAGGAATTGGGTAGGAAAATCGCAGATGGACGTGTTGTGCTTTGTTGGTTTGATGGCTGGGTCGGAGTGGGCGCGGCATTTCACGGCATCGTCATACCCTGTTTTTGCACTCCAGCTTGTTTACATCTTCTTTCTCCCACCACGGCAGCTCCCATATGTTCATCCATTTCCAGGGTCGGGGAAAAAAAATCATCAAAATTTCAAAATTTACACCCCGGGCTGGATGACAAACAGTTTACTTACAACAGGCAGAAGTTCTGCGATTATAGTTAACATGCAACTCTTTGCATGAAGACCAAGAATTAGGATTGGACCTTGAGTTGAACGTAATAAAACAGCAGACCATATGATTCTTGAGAAGAGTTTCAGCATACACGACGCCAGCAGGATTTGAACCTGCGCCCGGAAACCGGAACAGATTTCGAATCTGTCGCCTTACTTACATGTAACCACTCGGCCATAGCGCCATGACATTGTTGACAAGGTACGTTCCATCAATTCTCACAGTCAACCTGAGCTTCGGTGTTGGCCTGGCGGGACGGAAGATGAATAACTTGGAGTGAGCTCGTCTTCGTTTACATAGGTGTTGAATTGTCGTCCTTGGTCTTTGACGATTTTTTTGGTCCTAAATTTGCCGTATGGTCAACGGGGTCGCGGAACAGCTCGGATCAATAATCAGGTAACGCCTCTCACAGTCTGTCGCGAACTCTGAGTCACATCTTCCGCCAATGCGCTGTCCTCTCAGGCTTCCTGCCCTCGACTTCTACCGACGCATTGTCTTCGATCTCATCGCCCCTTTTCACCAGGCCACCACTACAATAGCATCGCGATTCAACGACCGGCCCCACCTTTGTCTTCTCCTCTACCACTGTCTCCAGCCTGAGGGTCGAGCCTGTACTGTCGTCTTCCTCTCGTACGTGGCACCAGTTCCAAACGGAAGCACTTTCTCCCCAAAAATCCCAGCTTCCCCGGCGCGTTTCTCCAAAAAATGCAGACACTGGCAGCCATAAAACATCAAGTCTTGGACTGCTCGCCGACAGTGGCCAAATATTGACACCGTGACGCGTGGGGATCTCGAGATCTGTCGGCCGTCTCTATCGGATTCTGCATTTACGAGTTCTAAATCGCAATTGGATCGAAACCGACGGAGGATTGACTTAGTTGGTCCAGAGTCGAGGTCCAATTTTCAACTCGACTTATCAAAGAAGGTCTTTCTTGCAACTCTGTCACTTTACAGCCGCACATATGGATCGGAGACAGACCAGTGACCATCTGTTTGTCTAGGAATACATCCCTGTCTATCGAAGACACTGATTTTGATACGACAGGCTGGATTCGAGCTTACCCATGTCGCATTTGATACAGCAGCACATCTTCGTGGCGGTCACTCTGTCATGGGGAGACGAGGAGGGTGGGGACAGTGTAAGTGGACTAGCCCGTCCACTTTCTGACGATTCCTGATTCGTTGGCATTGAGATGATGGAGTACCATTTCCAATGGCTGCGTGGTGCTTGCAGGCTTCCAGAACGTTTAACGGAGAATGGTTGCTCCGTACTCGCAATGAACGTGAACAGAATCAACACTTACATCCCAGCCGGCGCGTCCCGGCGTACACGCGCTGGGAGACCAGGAATTGAGATCGTTCACTAAGGGCTTGGGGGGCTTGAGCGGTGTTTGCTGGCGACACGGGGGTCGCAGATGATAGGCTGCGGGCTTGTGCGACGGTGCGCTGGGCGTTACTTGAAAGGGGAATAAAACGAGAAGAAAGATTCAAAGAAAAGGAAAAGGTCCGCTGTGGACAACCATCAATCTAACTAGATGATCACCAGAAGGCGGTGCGTCCGCGGATTGAGGTGGCAAGAAGGAGGTGTACTTTGCTACCGTCACTTTTACGCGCGCGCCGCCCGAATATCGTTCAGATATCGTAAGCAGGTCAAAGGTCGCGGCCCAAAGCAGGATCAGGCTAGGTATTGAAGAACAGGCAACGAACCGTACGAGTATCAACAAACACCGTACGACGCGAGTCGGGGGGTGTAAATTCACATTAATACACCTCGCCTTTTTGTTTTCCGTGATGCTGCGCTGAAAATCACGCAGTATCATAGCACCCACGACAAAAGATGCACTACCGCCACCACAAAGTTGCTGAAAGATCTATTTCAAATATATAAGACGAGGATTTATGGGAAAGGCAATTCGAATTCGCAATTCCTTGATGCTGGCAGCTGCAGCCATCATTTGGTGCGCATCTCTATCAGAATCCCGATTGACGGTTTCCTTCACTAAATTTCGTGACCTAAATTAAACTGGCATTCCGCACTCCGCCGCCTTTTCTTCCTCCGTTTGTCCCCGGATCGAGAACGCTGATCCTGTACCACAACTCTATGTAACTGGCCCGCTGGCAATTGTTTAATTAGACCCGAGATCGCCGATCTAGGTGCTGTACCCCGAAGGGAAATATACCGAACTGTCCATGAAAATACTGCCGGATCGACGAGGGGTCCGACATTAATAACAATAAGTAATACGCAAGCTATCTATACGAAACTGCAAAATACAATCGAAGTCAGCAACTGCAACCAAGGACAGATATTTTTCAACCAAACTAAGAAGAAATGCGTGGAAATAAAATCCCACTCATAATCATATCTACCTACCTACATCCCGCTCTCTCTGCGCTCGTGTTGGATGGTGAACTTGAAGAAGAGCAAAGTTTAACTACCGTCGTCATGGCGGAGTCGTCGCTGACAGCTGCTCGTGGATTCGAAACATAATTGTTGACAGCTGGCAGTTATTCGTGAAACGCAGGGCTGGTTGTAAAGTAAGATAAGTACTGAATGCCAGGCTTGGTCCCCTCATTCTATACGGATTCTCCATTCAAACAAACGTACAGAACCTAAACTGCATGCAACGTTCGTCGCTGCTCTGCTGAACTCCCCTCTGATGCAAATCTACCCGATCGGAACAACTAGACGGACGCCGTGACTCAGTTCCTCTTCTTGAGTCTTCCCTTTTAAGCCCTAAGTTAAGTATGTATTTTGCACAACCGTGCATCAATTGATCAAAATCATCAGATCAACTTGATTGTTGTGTTGCGAAATCCTGGCAGTCGAGCGTGACGTATACTTAAACAATGCATAGGTGGTGGACTAGGTAGAAGGACACGAAGTGCAGAAGGTGGGATTTTCTCGAATGACCGCTGGTAAATCCCTTGCAGTGGTGGATGGGTTTGCAACTTCCCACGGTTTGCACCGAAGACTACCCTTGTCATGGCGAGAGACAGCGACGCCACGATTCAGCAGATAATCCAAGGCTTTCGAATCATCATGAGGCAGTTGACAGTTGCGTATGAAACGCAAAACTGGTTGCAAGGGATTTACACTACTTCTGAACGAGAGCAGGGGGCGGAAGAATCTGAACTACGGCGTACGTCCAGATTCTTCTTCTCAACTTAAAGGCGCACTGGTGTCGGCCCCGAAAAAATCGGGGTGTCCGTATTGACAAACTTGCGCGGGTTCGAATACGCTGACTAGGGTTAGGGTTTATGACGGGCCAGAAAAATCACTGACTTTACAACCACATAGATTGAATATAATTTGCATGAAGAATGTACATGCGATTCTGAGGCGAGGGTGCGAATTTCCATCTCTATTATGAACATAAATAAAGGGACAAACGGAACACGACAGCACTGCTCTCTCGCGCACGCGCATATACATATGACAATTGTGTGCTCGTATCTCACACGAGCCAAGAACGCCGCGAGTGAAAATATTAAATATACCCACCATTAACCGAAGACGGAGTACGCAACATGCGGGGATACATCCTAAAAAGATTGCTAGAGACTACAATGTTCAAAGGCCTGAATGTCTCCATGTCAAAGAGTTCGAACATATGCAACTACAAGGTGAGTTTTACGCCAGCGATTGTACAGAGTATAATAATGTCCAACAGAAAGGAGAGTTTTACAATGATTTTACAGTGTATATAATAATGTCCACTGTTTTGTCCGTTCAACACGCACCAAACGTGAAGAGATGGGAGGTCATGCTTAAAGATTGTATGTCCAGGGCTGAGGAAACATGTCCGACGGGTCATACGACGGTGCACATGGGGTGCAGTGCAGTGCGCGCGTGAATGGAGCGGGGGTGTCAAGTACGTCCACGGGCGAAGTGCATTGTGGGAGGTCAAGGGACGTGTCCAGGTCATACGTTTGCTCGTACAGCCAAGGAAACAAGTTATCGAAGCCGGCCGGCGACTGAGGGGAGGGAAGCATGCACGGGGACGTCGGCGCCAGCGCATTATGGGCATGAAATAAATCATGGAAAGCTTCGTGAGAATCTTCTGACGAGATCGAGCTGTCGTAGCTGCTGCAGCTGGTAGACGGCGAATGGTCGATCGGACTAGAAGTGTTTTGACTGCCAGCAGCGTCTACGGTAGCGATCCGTGTGACGCGAGGTCTCCTGCGACGTTTTTCCGGTGCCATCCGGCGAAGTTCCTCAGGGTTGCGCACATCGAAATGCAACCGATAGCTTGTAAGACAGAATAATTTTATCAGCATCTCCTCGTTGATCCTGCATGCCGGATTTTACTCACTGCTGCCAGAGGTTATCCTTGCGCGAGGACCGTTTCGTACAATTAGGAAACCAGCACATGTATTCCTTCGCGCCGGAATGGACGCGTCTGTGGCGCGTTAGGTGCCCGCCCGCTACAAATGACTTCCCGCAGTCATCGCAGATGTACGGCTTGAGCAGCGGGCGAGGCTCCATGAATACAGTGGCCTGGACAGTGAATTCGTTTCCGCCCTGCGGTTAAAAGCGAGGGGGATGAATCAGAATGATGAAAGGCGTTCTCCATTATGCCTCAAGTAATAAATTCATTGCCCCAACGCTAAATGGTGTAAGAGCTTTTAGTTGGATCCGATCGACCTCGCGTGTTGGAAGAAGAGTCGAAGTGATCTACTTGGATCTCCTTGAAGGGTGGCAGTTCAGATACTCAGATGATTAGATCTCGGCCCGCATGTGATTACGGAAAGGTTAACTGACAGTTCAATCTGTTCGCACTGGCCCCCGGCTGGGCCCCAGAAGCACTGCAGCCAGAAGCATGCCGAATTCCGACGACAAGAAGGGGGCTTATGACACCCGAATGAATTATCACGGTTCAGCCTATGGTGGAGAATCACGGTGAATTCGGACTACAAATTGTGGAACAAGTTCGATGTGGCGGTAACATTTCGATTGCGAGGAACTCTGATCGAACCATTTCGACCGATCGTTTGTGAGAATACTGAAAGCCAGGTAGGTAAGTAGGTAGGTAGAATTACGCGACACGGTCAGAATATCCAAATTCGGCAGAAAAAACTACGATCGTGATTATCTGCCAATGTCGCTGATCTTGGACAAAAAGGGATATATTCACGATGCGGTTCCCGACAAAAGAGCGAAAATCGAAGGGCCTCAGGCCG